AGCTTCACTCTGTCCACTGCTCACAGGAAAAGCTCCAGCATCCCAGGTGTCTCACTTCAACTTCAGTGGAGGCTAAGTGCCCGGGTGGAGGCTGCCCCACCATGCTTCCCCCACGTAAGCGCAGCAGCAGGATGGAGAGCACAGAGGGGGACTGGTGTAGCTGTCCCACATCATATCCTGCCTTCAGTTTGTCCCCGTGTTCTGTCCCCCCTGCCCTCCCTCACACCCAGTCTCTTTCTCAGTCCAGAACCTCTACAGGGTCCTAAGCAGTAAGTTTCCTTCCGCGTTTCCAACGAAATCCTTTCATAGCTCATTCTGGGCTGTGCTTTCTCCCTCTCTGTCTCACTCATCAGGATGCTCACATCTGCTTTCTGTCTGATGGGAATGGTTGGTATCTTTCATATTTTTATTATTTTCATGTTATGGATTTAGGTTCATCCTGTTTATACTTATAAGTTTGATCTCAGTGGGAAGTTTGGAGAGAAGGGAGAAGGTACATATGCTTGATCAGATTTTTTTTTTTTTTTGAGCACAGTGTGTTTTTTATTTAAATACATTTAACATATAACATTGTATAAATTTAAGGTGTACATCATGTTAACTTGATACCTTTATATATTATAATATGATTATTATTGTGGTGATAATTAGCACCTCTATTACATTACATAATTTGATCAGATATTTTGAACCAGAAGCACACCCGGCAACATTTAAAATTTCAAAGTGACTATATGATTTGCTCTAAAATGTGAAGGCAAATCTATCAGCAGAGCCAAGAAGTAAATCAGAAGCCCAAGGGAGAACCAGTTTCAAGCTGCTACAAGTCAACAGAGTACTCAGAAAGGAGGGCATTGGTCTGATTTTTTGAAAAAGACCCCCGCTGGCCAGATTCTCACCTCACCTGAGATTTCTCTTCTTAGTTACTTCAATTCTGTGTTTCAGCAGTCTCTGTGCTAAAGGAAATTGAGTAGGAAAGTCTTTCCCCTTGGGAGTTTCATCGTACTGCTAGACGGCAGAGTGCATTTCCCGTGTCTGACAGGCCGTCTCCCACCTGCACGGGGTGCTGCTTGCTTGGCTACGTGGATTGTCACTGCCACTCTACCCCCGCGTCCCCGGTCCCCTGCAGGAGCTCCTCTCACTTTC